GGGGCTTAAATATGAATTACAATCACACCCTTTAAAATGTTTATCACACCTTCCCTTTCAGTTTTCTGATTACAATGGACCTCAAAGACAAGACTGCCTTTGTCACTGGCGGGGCTATGGGGATAGGACAGGAATATGTCAGGTCTCTCCTCTCCCAAGGAGTTAAAGTGGTGTTTGGTGATATAAACGCGAAAGCAGGAGAGACGACTGCGAAAAGATTCGGCCAGGAGTTTGGGGAGGACAGCGTCAAATTTATTCCCCTGGATGTCACAAATCAGGATCAGTACCAAATTGTCTTCCAGACTGCGGTAGAACATCTAGGCTGTGTGGACATCATGATCAACAACGCCGGCATATTGAACGAGGGAGCAGGCTGGCAACGGGTTGTCGATATTAACCTGACCGCCATGATCTTTGGCACAAAGCTAGCGATTGGTCACATGAGGAAGGACAGGGGAGGGAAGGGAGGCCGGATCATAAGCACGTTGTCTGTTTTAGGTTTGGAGCAGTCATTCTCGTCGCCTGTCTACTCGGGGACAAAACACGGACTGAGGGCGTACCTAACTAGTATGGCTCAAGACCCAACCCGTCCAGATCAAGGAATCCAATACGCAATGATTGCCCCAGATGTCGTGAATACTCAAATGGTTCAAGGGATAGACAACAGTACAGTCAACGGCTGGGATCAGATCAAAGGATTTGTGATGAATAGACGTATGAGTCCCCGGACAATTGGAGAAGCACTCATCCACTTACTCAGTCTTGACGTCATCAACGGCGCCATCTTGCACGTGGACGCCAAGGGGAGAACTTTCCGACACATTGAATGTGTGAATGATGGCCTCACCTTTGACCCCAGCAAAACATACAGCATCGCCTATGACTTCAAAAAGAATTAACTCACTGCTACTGCATGTATAAATCTCATGACATGATAGGATTTAAAATTTGATTATCAAGCTACTTTTTGAGGTACAATACCTTTGAATTTGCGGAGAAAAAATACCGTTTACTAATATACTATTATGATGCTCAATTCTTGCGATTATAGAAGGAAAATGACAAGTTACCATTTAATAACTTTTTTGAGCTTTCGGCTTAGCGAACAAAATATCGAATATCATTACATATATAGTAGGCGTATTCATAACTTAGTTGAGACGTCGAATTACTTTCACATAAATAGTAGGCTTACTTGTGATTTAACGGAGAAAAGTCGAATTGCCATTACATTTACGGCAGGTCCATTTATGAAAATGCAGAGAAATGTTAAATTACCTTTACATGTATAACAGGCGTAGTGGAGAAATGTCGGATTACTATTCAATGTATAACTGGCTTACTTATGACTTAGTGGAGAAATATCGAATAACCGTCTTTATATTATAATGTTTCTGACGTAGAGTAGACATAATGCGCAATTGCACTTATGATCATCACCCAAATCAAGTGACAGATCTGCAACAGACATTGGCGATCATAGTTCTCTATTTATTCCTATGCTTGGATGCTCTCATAAAAGCTACACTATCCTGATTTTTATCCCTGTCAACCCATCAGTTTTGGCACTCCAAGAAAGTTGCTCTGGGTCTATCCCTGCCTCGTTTGCCTTCACCAGATGTTCAAGGCCTTTATGTCTATTCAAGTGCCTCAGAAACTGCGATTGTCTTTTTCTGATTATTTTTATCAACGAGCGTCCCACATGGACGTCTTCAAGTACTAAAACTATTTCTGTTGCTTCTATTTTTCTTTTTACTGTCTTTAGAATCTAGTGATTGTCCAGCATTCACAGCCGTGTAGAAGGGTTGACCACATAGCATTTCAGATCTTCCAGTTTGGTAGTCATTAATATGTTTCTAATTTTCAGGATTGGGCTTATGACCGAGAGAAGAAAAGCTAAGAGAAATAACGCTTGTGGTGTAGAGAGAAAAGGAATGATATAACACTTTTTACTGACAGTTCTTCTTCTTCTTCTTCTTCTTCTTCTTCTTCTTCTTCTTCTTCTTCTTCTTCTCAATGTTATCTGCATAACTATCGTTCTTCGCATTATTATTTTCTGTTATTGATAACATTACAATAATTTTTATGGTGTCGGTTAACATTATTACATTGTATTATTTTTTAAATCTTTTTTCTTATTATTAAAGTGGCGTCAGTAGCCTAGTGGTTAGGCTACCGGACTCGTAATCGTGAGATTGTGAGTTCGGGGGTTCGAGCCTCAGCTCAGCCCGACGTTGTACCCTTGGGAAAGGCACTTTACACAAATTTCACCAATTTGGCTCTGTATTTTCGGAGATGGACGTTGAACTCGGAGGTCCTGCCTCTTAAATAACCTAACAGTGTTGATAGGGGCATTAAACCTTTACCATTTCATTACCATTTCTTATTATTACTATTGATTACCATTATCATCAAAGGTGCCATGGACTATGAAGAGGGCAAATGTCTCAATTCTGAACAAAAGTATAACTAAAACGAAATGGAAACTGGCTCTATGACCATTTGCTCAACATTTGTGACAATTACCACAAAAAAACCCCCAAAAAACAAAAAAAAACCAGCAAGAAAGTTAGAAAGCCACTGTGCACCTGATCTCCATAATAGTACACATGAGAGATCGATCATTTGAAAAGAAATTACTAACAAAAAGCACTCACGGTAACGTCTGTTGTACTTTTCCAAATCTATTTTAGGGATTCCAATCATGTCTTTCACCAAGTGGCTAATGGATCTTATGCATGCGTCCTGTGGTCATTCTGAACCCCCGGGTTTGTATTCTGCATATTTCAGAATACTTCTAGTACGAAGATCTCTTTGAAACTTTCAGTATTTCTCAAAAAATCATTTTGACAGATTTCTATGCAAAGCGTACGGATCGTATTAATTGGAAAGTTGTGGCACAGAGTTCCTAACGTCATATGAATCGATAGTAAAACACGACGTACGGATAGGGTTAAAATGATGCCAGTTATTGAAACTGAAATGTTTATTTTGTATGATTTGAAAGTCCCTATGGACCAGTGGTCTCCAAACCACGGACCGCGAGTCGGATCTTCGTCTCGCTCGCCACTATGCCATACCACCATGCGGGAAAATACTCAGAAGATGTGTTGTAGCGTGCTCAGAACGTGGTCACCAAACTAATGTTATCCTTTAATTAAATCTACAGTGCAAATTAAGCGTTCTTTAGACTTCATAACTCCTATATAATGTAGCGTTTGAGAGATTCAGATACGTGCGCACTAAATGTGCTGTAACTATATTTTTTCTACATATGTATGATTTGATGACTTTTTGGTTAATATAGATATTACGTTGTTTTCAAAAGATATATATTCCTAGAGGGAGGAAGAGAGAAAGGGGGGG